TCAATAGGTACAAAATAAAAATTTATCAGATTTATTATTTCCATTTAATTTTATAACAAATATAAGTATATTACAGTATAATACAGTAAATAACGTCCATCGGATGCACGATCGCAAATTTTAGTTGCCCCAAATGACGTCATTTGGAAGCAAGAATTAAATTTGCGTATCTTACGCAAAAATAATTTGGAATCATCTGAATTGCCAGTAAGAAGGGATAATAAAGGCTCCGGCGTAGCGGGTAGAGGTGACAGCACAACTTTTCCTGATGCGCAGCACATGCCGGCTGCTTCATTCCGAAATTTCAATGCCTGACAATATTGACATACTTTATCCATTCCACCGATAGCAATTTTTTAATGCGCTGAGTAGTTAATATCTGGTGCATATTCAAAGGCAAGTCGAACGAATGATGCACGTGTTAATGAGCGGCTGATCCGTTGCCTTTGTCGATCTAGTACTCGTACTGTAGCTATGTTTCGTTCTCGTGCCGCTCTTGTTCTCGTAATATTCTGTTGCCGACGTTCGTCACGCTGTTCTTGAGATTCTTGTGCACGACTTTCTGCAGTCCTGATTCTTTCAGCTGCATTTCTTGTTTCGATTTGTTCTGGTAATTGCTGAGCTCTTTCAACACGTTTGCGTCGTGACCCTTTCCTGCTCGCGTTGTTGAGGTTAGATTTTTTCGGTGGCATTTGACTGACAATAATAATTTAATCGTTTAAATATTAGAAACCCAGTCGAAAGGTATCGACATCTGTTAGAATCATTTGGATTAACAGATAATTGTGACTGTCAAATAATAGCAGACAAATAATTAGCAATAAATTAAAATTGCGACTATAATTTGAGATTTAAACTATCCTATCTCTCAAGTTGGATCGAACTGCACATGGTGTGCGAATTTTATTATAATCGGTTAAGTGGTTTAGGAGTCCATTGAGGACCAACATTGTGACACGAGATTTATATATATTAAGATTATTTTCAATCTTACGCATGTACATTCTATAAGCATTTTGAATAAGTACTTTACATTTGGAACGATGGAATTTAAATAAATTATAGTAATGAGCAGTTTTATATTTTTTATACAGTTTGTGCAATGAGTATTTAGTACGTATAGCATTTCTTATTTCCTGATTAAACCAGGGAGAATATTGTCGACGGTTAGTACTCAATTTGATTTTAAATTTAGGAACAGCAAGATCAAAAATTTCATGGAGTTTGGCATAAAAAAGAGAACAAATTTCATCAACGCTACCATCGGTATCTAGGAAATCCCAGTTGCAAGAGTAAAGCATATCATAAAGAACTGGAAAGTTTGCCTTTCTAAAGTCATATTGTTCTAGATTATTTATAGGGAAAGATTGATCAAGGGGGATTACAGATTTTATAACTATACAAAGAGAAGGATGGTGAACATCATCATCGACGAAACTGAAATCAGAAGCCTCTACCTTACACTCGATATTAGAGAAAACTAAGTCTAGAATATGGTGATATTTATTTTGCACATTATTATGCTGCTCTAAATTAAGGAAAGATTGGAAATTATTAAGAGATAGAGTGAATTGGTTTATTTTACCCAAGGTGAAATCCGGAATGTTAAAGTCACCACAAATCAAAATTTTATTATTTTCTTGAATGTCTATTCTACTTAGGGCTTCAAGAAATAGTTGAAATTCATGTACTGATACCTGAGGAGGTACGTAAAGGACAATAAGAATTAATTCCTGCTTAACACTCAACAATTTAACTCCTACAACATCTATAGTCGGAACAATATCCCCTAAATAAGAAAGATCCAGAGCAGATGATTTCAATGTATTATTAATACCTAAAAGTACCCCACCTCCTCGAGAGACGCCCATCGCTTGTAGATCCCTGTCTTTCCGATAAACAACAAAATCATGAGGAAGAAATTCAGTGTTACTAATATCACTGGCCAACCAAGTTTCAGTTAACGCTATTATATCAACATTGATTAATTCAGAAACAGAATTGTAAAAGTTAGATATTTTGGATCTTAAGCCCCGAACATTCTGGTAAATACAACACAACGAAGACGTGCAACTGGGTGTTCTTTTTAGTTTACCGAGACAATTTTGGGTGAGCCATTTATATATTTTATTCTCAGATTTGTTTCCCCGTTGCTTATTCTAATGCCAAGTTGTTCTTTGACTTGTCTGTAGGATGCGTTTTGCTTAGGAGTGCGATCGAAGGACAGAGTAATGTAGTTATAGTTTACGTTGCTTTTCAGTACCTTGGCATTACGAATAAATTTTTGAACCTCGAATTCATCATTCAAGATAACTCTTATGGGTCTAGGTTTATTACCGGGATTTTGTTGAGAAAAGCGACCCAAACGTTGAATCTTAATACCAGAAACATCAGCATCAGGGCGGACTAATTGTAAAATATTTTCAACGGCAGACTTATCTATTGCAGAACGCTGATTATTATTATTAGTAGAAATCTGTGGTTGCTCTTCAACACCAAATACGATTAAGTTTTGTTTTCGATTTTGCCTTTCCATTACTTCGTTAACGATTTCTTCAAATTGATTGCTGGGGCTACGCTGGTCTTCATGAAGCGCGGACCGAAGAGTGGCTAGTTGAGTGTCAAAGTCTTCTTTCAGTTTCTCTATGGCAGTTGTAAACTCGGTTTGTAACGATGAAATTAAGGTTTTGAAATCTTTATACTGAGCCATATTATTGTTGCATGTATTGCACACTACTTTTATTGACCTAGATTTAGCTCGTGTTATCTTCACGTCATTTTCGGAGAGTCCCACACAGGCAATATGCAATATTCCTTGACAACCATCGCAAGTTATGGTATGGGCATTAGCTTTGCATACAATACCACAATTTAAGCAAATATTATTCATTATGATTAAAAAAAAGTGGAATATAGGATATAACAAGGGCACAAGTTCTTCACACCCAAGGGTCTGTTCGGGTAGCTAACTTTCGACAAACAGGAAGACCACGGGAGGTAAAACATAAGAGAACAAAGGATTAATTAAAAATGTTGTACGACCGCAGTCATTCACCTTAATGAAAGAAACACTATCGGTACGTAAAAACGTCCCCGTGGTAACAGCCAGCACTTGAGTAGATATTGGTATATATCAAATTAACCATCCGTTGGATTCAAAAACCGTTTTGGCCTTTGGAAAGATAACACAAAGCACAAAAGATTGGTATAGAATCCACCCTAAAACACTCGATGATACTTTAACACCACTGAAGGTCACTCAGAGCAACACTTTATACGTGTATTAGCTGCACTGACACTGAAATAATGAGTGAAACCCCTGCACAACGGCAACAGTAATTTATTGCTTTTAACACCCTTTGCGACCAGATATCGGCACGTTCCGGCAGAATTTTTCAGGGCCGTACTCTGTTAAAAAAATAAGGTGAAATAATAGACAAATTGTATTAGTTAAATAATATTTATAAGATTATAAGTCACTATAACGACCGACAAGTAAGACGTGAAATCAGTTATTGAAATGAAGACCAATTCAAATCTACCCAAAGTACCTTTTGGGAATTTGACTAAACAATTTCATTACCGAAAGCAGGTAAAACTTTCAACTCAACCTGAATACGGCTCTGTATAAAATGACCTGTCAAGCCCTTTTCATAATTTATGGTTGCGGTTTCAGGAGCACCGCTTTTTGAGTGATTGGTCCCATAAAAATTTATGTGGGTGTATCTCGAATACGGTTACAGTATATGAGCACATATTTTGCATATTTAAAAAAAAATTTGCTTAGACAAATTTTTAAATAACGTCATTACATGTTAGTGCGTATGAACAGACAAATTTTGCTGAGCGTTTTATAGTCTGTCCAGTACTTTCGGAGATTACTTGTGTAATAAAATTACCAACAGACTACATAGAGGCAAAAACGGGTGACCTATCTTTTCATATACTAGGATCTATTGAACGTCGTAAGATTAAATTAAACGGTAGATTTCTTAAATATCGGCTCTACATTGGTTCGTTACAGTCGTCCAAAATCTCCAAATAAAATTAGCTGGACACGGAACAGAAAAATTTCTTTCTGTTCTAATTCAAACACAAATTACCGTATGTTACCTAATTGATGCAAAAATAAACATCTTCCTTATCTACTTATTTAACAAAATTAGTTTAAAAAAAGTAAAATCTCCATGCACTTGGTAAAACTACAACTAACGTTATGTAAACATGACAAATTGAAAAAACTCTACGTATTAATTAAAAGCATCGTTTCCAATAACATTATATAATCATTGCTTAAATTTATGATAATTTGAAAAATGCAGCTGCAGATAGTATCGGATTATATTTAATAGTGAAACCAAAAACCCGTCAAGTTATTAACAAAAGGAATTTTACACTGAGCAGTGAATGATTTAAAATTTAAGAGATGTCACGGTGATTAGATCATTAGATATATTTCAACTTTAATGTATATAAAACCCCTAATAACTAGGTACACACGATATTTAAATTTCTCATGTTTTACACTATTTTCTGAGAGTTTACTTGTTCAGAAGGAAATTGGGACATAGGAAAAGTAAGTAATATTGGGTTTTAGAAAAATACAGGTGAAAAATATAAAAAGCATTAGAAATATTTTTAAATATTCAAGACGTCTAGCACAACTGTAGCAGACATCTAAAATCGCTAAATATGACTCATAAAATTCGTATTTTTTTTTATTTTGATACGATTTTCTGCATGCAGTACAGACAAATCAATATAAGCAGATTCATTTGTAACTGCGGTATTTTAACATTATTTTTCATCGTTTACACCCAAATTCAAATTGTGGAAACACCAAGAAGTACCTAAGCCTTTCCTCATTTTTCAAATTTTCTAAGCAAAAGTTTGCTTTTGTGCATCCTGCAACACAGCATAATATTTAATAAATAATTTCATTTAAAACAATAAGATTTCATTCAACTAATAAATCTAATGCCACATTTACCAACTTACAGCAATCTGCAGGCTTGACTGCCATTCAACTCGTGGGTACTGCGACAGTCCCGGCGAGTGCAGATGTCGTCTGGGCTGGGCTGGAAAGAACTGCAAAGATTGTCAAGTCCTTCCAGGATGCCAACATGGATATTGCGATAAACCTCTTGAATGTAAATGTTATCCCGGATACACCGGAATTCTATGTCAGACACGTAAGTCCTACGTTACATAAATAAGAAATAACCTAAACTCGTCAGTTACATCACGCAATGAAGAATTTCATAAAAATAATTGTTATTTACAGCTATCTGTTCAAAAACTTGTCACAAAGAGAGAGGCTACTGTAGAAAGCCAGGCGAATGTAGGTGAGGTCAATACAAAAAGGGGTTATTAAAATAAAATATGAATTCTTACAATCAATTATTTACAGATGCAAAGTAGGTTGGTGGGGAACTAATTGTGAGAAATGTTATCCTTACCCTGGCTGCGTCAATGGTAATTGTAGCAGACCGTGGGAGTGCAACTGCAAGAAGGGTTGGGGTGGAATGCTTTGCGATGAAGGTAGGTAGGATAAGTCGATGCGGACGAATCGATACGTAATTATGTTGGACTTTAATCCAGGATCTATCAGTTTGTAGTAAAAAGATTTCCACTAGTTCTAAACTTAATCTATGATAATCGAATAACCATATTTGCTTTTTTTTTCACTTAAGGAACATATTCAAATTCTTAACAGATATATATTATTATTCTATAAAAAGTCTTGCATAAAAATATTACAGTTAATCAAAAACAGCTACAAGCAGAAAATTAGTTTCACTTGCTACATGAATTTTAAAAATGTTTTTCACCGCTGAAGTCAGAGAACGCATAAACACCATTCGGCTAAACAACAATGCAATAAACGCTCAAGCTACTGTAACTAACAAATTATGATTAAAAGTTCTACACAATGATATTGCAGCGAAACCAAAGACACACAATTGTAATACATAACGGTACTGACAAAAGTAGAAACAGCTGAATTAGACAAAGTAGAACTTCAATTTCACTAATTACCTAGTTTGCTTACAATAAATGTTACAGAGGCAATTTTATTTAATGGAAGCGTATATATTATATTATATTTTTAATTTTAAAATCAAAACAGGTACTCGACAAAGAGCAACTAAACTAAAATTGTAGTTTGTTTTATGTAAACTTTATTGCCTTTTTTGTGTTACTTTACAATGAATATCTGTATTTAACCTAAAACTGTAGGTAGATATAGACGCTTTTTTAGATAATCCTGAAATTCTTTTTGTTTTGATCTCAGTAGAACCAATTTCTTTTATAATCTGTAATATATTACAAGTAAATTCTGTAACTGATTTTAAACAAATTGTACTAATGAATTGATTTTTAAATAAATGTTACTCTTCCTTATATGTCAAAGCCCTGTATTGAGCCTAAAATTAATTTTTACGTAGAAAATGATTATCTTTATACTTGACGAATAAAGGAGTGTTGATTATTATATATCATGCAGAAAGTGTAATTAGAAAGATAGAAGAAAAACATCTAAAGTAAAACTAACTACTCTGATAACAAAAGATTGGACTCTGCCAAATATTAAAAAGAGATATTGACGGGTGTGGGACACTGCACGATAAATACATTTTCTTTTGTAACTCAAGGAATTGTCTAATGTATTTGGACAAATTTATTAAAACGCAACTTTCCATACTGCTACGAAATAAAAACTAATGTTTGTCTCTCATTTTACTGTGACTTTAGCATACTGTTTTAACAGACTTAGAAAACTGTTTATGTATACGTATTCTACTAGAAATAAAATTCAAGTGGTAAGTTTTACAAAACTTTTGACAGTTGGTAAAAATTTCTGCTTAGCAGAGCACATGGAAATCCTCTTTAAAGATGATTAGATGAAAATTTTACAAGACTGCCAATAGAAAAATGTTTTAAACAATATTTAATGTAGTCATTTAGAATATTTCAAAAATAATTTACCTCACAAAATTTACTGGTAAATTTTATAGCTATTTGTAAATTTTAAGACAAAATACGATAAACTACGTTTAGTAGAATTCACTTGGAAATGTTTTCTTAATTTTTTCAATTAAAACAATTAATAAAGTTTTCGCCATAGCAATTATTGATACAACTTGTAAATAAATAACGTTTAACATTGGTCACAATGAAGCCAGTTTTTACCTTTGTATAAAAAAGAACTGATTGAATTTTGAATTTTTAAGTTGTTAAAAAGAAGAATTATAAAACTACTGGTAACAAACATTTCCCGCCAAAACTATTTACAGAACTGACAGTTAGGCTCGATAAATAAACAATTAGAATCACTCTTCAGTAGCTGCTTTGGTGGTAGTACATTATACATTAATAAAACTTTTTTCAGAACTCAACTACTGTGAAACGCATCCTGGAACTTGCAAGAATGGTGCTAAATGTATATCACTTATCAAGGAAGACGGTAATTACAAGTGTTTATGCCGGGAAGGAACGTCAGGAAGAAACTGTGAACATTCTGAAATTCCCACAACTGTAAGAACTCCGACAAGCACTGTGGCGGTTAATTCGACCACGCAAAAAATCGAACCGCTTTCGGTAGACAATGAGACATAAAGTTCCCAATTTTCGAACAAAGACTATTCATTAACATTTCTCTGGTAATGAATTAGTTCCATATTGTCGGTTTAATTCTACGATGTGACGGGTGTTATAAAAGAAAAACCACAACATAAAAATGTTAATCGTTAATGAAATTAACTTGAAAGGTGTGATGGGGCTTAATGACTGTTTGTTTTTCGCAAATTGATGATTGACCTCAGCCTGATTGTCAAAAGTGTGCTATATAAATATAATTAGGTTGATTTTGTTCGATTATCTAATTTGATAGGGTAATTATATACGTTAACGTAGTTCATTCGATACACATAACTTGTTGTGAACCCGTCAGATTGTATTCGTAAACTAGTGGAATCATGAGAGGAAATGAGAAAAAATGAGTTCGTCCCCATTTGCTTCTGTTTATAATTCAATTATTTATGTCTATTTATTATATTTGTTTTCTATTTATTTATGCCATATATATATATATATATATATAAAATAAACACATATTTATTTATTAAGGTCCTATTAAGCTTTATTAGTTTACGTGCTCTCCCAATATTTTGTTTCTACAAGAGGCTTTGAACTCAAAAGTGAGAACAATGGATACTTAATATTGAACGCAAAATTATTTCTGTATGAATACTCGTTATGGTTTTTCTTCCTCAAAGTCGGACGTCTGAAGTGTGACAATTTCAGATAGTATGAACCACTGTAGAAATATAAAAAACTGACAATATTAATAATAAAATCTAAATCCCATTTATTCTAATTTTTAAAAGTTTGTGTCAAAAATACCTTAACATATTAAATGTATCCCCCTCTCAACTGTAAACACTAAATTGTTTTATGATTTTTTACAAATAAAAATGTTATTCATATGAAGTTTTTTTGGATGATTCTTGTATCTTCCTAAATAAATCCTAATTTATTCACATATTTATTTAAATTTATTATTGTAGCAGTACTACTAGAGTTGTGCATATCTATTAACATTTCGTTGCTACTACAACACTTCAGTGACAAGGGTAAATAAAAAGTTCTTTAATCGACTGTCATTTAAGTAATGAATAAACTTTATATTTTAACAAAAATTTTGTTTTAAATCCACCTTAAGAGCCGGTATCATGCTGTTTCTATTTTTAGGTTAAAAGCAAAAACAAACAAATTCAAAACAACAGCTCTGAAAAACTAATTTATCAGTTCAATAAATATTCTAAGTGTTGCTTTCACTGCACTAACCGTTTATCAAAATTATGTCCGTTTTTTCGTCGTTTGAATATATTTTACATCAGTTCTGCCCAAATGTCACTTGTAACATGACATTACGTCAGTGTTGTTACAATAAAACAGATAATTATGTTTTACTTAAAAAAAAAGTGGTGTCAAGTATCAAAGATGGTTTTGAAATTGTATTTCTGGTTGCGTCTTAAGCTTTCTTAGCACGGAGTTTCTTGTGAATGACCATTTATATACAATTAATCTACAATTCTTTCTTTCCAATGAAAATAAAAATTAACAGTACGGGTGCACAATTACTGATGTCTTCGTTCTGGATGCTGTTGTTTTAGTTAGGCTTGAACTTCCTCTACCGGCTCGTTTGATTGAGTACTATGCAGAAACTGTTGTAATACGGCTTCCTTGATTTATTATTAATAAATCAAATACACAGACCGGGAAAAAAATCGGCCACCCTAAAAAATTAAGCAAAACCAAACTTTAAAAATTATTAATTTAACTAGTGATCGTTATTTTATTAAAGAACCATTCACTATTGACACATGATGTATAAATTAGCAAAAAAAAGCAGAGAAATAAAAGCAGAATTAAATTTAATTTAACAGAATAACAGAAACAGATCGACAATTTGAGAGACGTCTGTAAGAGTTAATGGAATTGTTTTCGCGTGAAAAGGTTTATTAGTTGCCAAACTTATAATCAAATGATGAAAAACACTGTTTACAACAACAGCCTCCTTTATTGTTTTTTTTTTTTTAAGAAAATATTGTACTTGGACTGTTTCTGTTATTTTGTTAAATTAAATTTAATTCTGCGTTTATTTGTCTTCTTTTTTTTGCTAATTTGTATCACGTGTAAATAATGAATGGTTCTTTAATAAAATAAAAATTACTAGTAAATTAATAATTTTTAAAGAGGTTTTGCGAAAATTTTCAAGGTGGCCGGTTTTTTTTTGCCGGCCAGTGTATATATGTCACTAACAAAATGTGCATTGCCGATGCTTCACCGCTTTATTTGCTGGCTTCTTCAAGGCTATACTGATTGTAAATAAATCGTTATGGTATCAACACAGCCACCAAATTAATTTTGTATAGCTGACTTTTCCTCCTATTAAATCTATTGCCAATGTTATTGTAGAAATGTAGTAATAACTTTGCAAAAAGAGTTATTATTAATATTACACTACACCTACAAAATGTTCGAATCGATTATGCAGAATATTGTCTTATGCTTATTGTTACAGAAGATTTCAGTAACGTGACTTATTCTAAGTTTTTGTTTTACTTTCTAGAGAAACAAAAATTTGCCTGAGGAGCTGTTGTAATGAAGCGATTCTTCTAATAACTATTATGATTTTTATTACTTCCATTTATTTTTTAATTTAAAAAGAACTTCTCAACGCAAAACACTTGTGACTTGCTTTTCAAAGGTTCGAAGATGGTGTTGTTTGTATTGATGATCAATTGATCAGGTATCGTCTAAGAGATAATTTTAATTTATTAATTTTACTTCAGTAATTTCCGTTAAGCATATTTGCACTAAAATGAGAAAATGTTTTCTAACCTAACCTTATTTGGTTGTTAAATGGCACCTTTAATAACCGTCAGTTTTTGACGTGACATTTTTTTTGTGGTTTAAAACTCGTCAACAAGTGAAATTTTTCCGCCTATTCCAAATATATTTTTTATTGTACAATCATTACAACGTGTTGGCCACGACATAAACTACAGAAAATATAGAAAAAAGCATGTGTGTTTCTACATAAAATTCTTTCAGCAAAACATAAAATAATACTGTTTTCTGTATTATCAAATAAACTGAAATAACTACTTAAAATAAATTTTATACGATGAAAATGTAATTTTGAAAACATACCAAGAGAGAATCATCAAGAGAAGAAATGTAATTACAGCAAAACAATAATACATCAAAAAGTAAAAACTCACCTGATACAATCTAAAATCAGGAAACGCCGTCAAAGGAAAACAAGTATGAGGGAAGTGTGGGTGTGGAGAGAGGAAGATACATGAAAAAAGTCCTGAAAAGTATTTCCTTGAATTGAAAAGGAAGTCTTACGTGCATTATCTTGTGCAATGCATTGAAATCCACTGCAATATCAGAAAGGAATGTAAATTACGTAAAAATCAATATGAATAAAGATAAAAACGGGCTTGGTTTGAGAAGAAAACAAGTAAATGCTTAGATGAATAACTCGTAAAAAGTTATTCAGTCACGAAGGGAAAGAAAAACATTAATTTGACGTTAGAAATAATTAATTATTAAAGTGTAAAGGAAAACAACAAAACCAATGAACATAGGGCTAAGAGATGGACTAACACGGATGAAAAAAATTTAAAGAAAAGTATCAAACTGCATTACAAAATAGACAAATATATACACGTTAAGGAAACAGAGAATTTATTGGATATTAGTATTTTGTTCTATATATTTTTAAAAATAAATCAAAAGTCAAATATCTATAAATTAATCAAAAGCAGCATGTGTTTCGAACGAAATAAATATTCATATGGTTTTAAACCGCTTTTGTTTTTTTCTATTATTTGCAAAATAGTTCATATGAAAAATTTTAATTCTAATAGATCATCTGCATCAAATAATATTAATAATTTCTTCATTTCTTGGCTGTTTCTGCAATGCAAATATATCCAGTAAAATTAATGAAGGAAGTAAAATCTGAAAATATACGCCACGTTAACGTAAGCAAAAATGTAGCATTTTCATTACCATAAGCGGGGCAAATTCTACTTCCTGCTTTTCTAACATCATCCTGCAGTATTTGACCTTTTTAGTGCAGCATAAAATTAACCATTTTAACTATGCAATAATTTCACAATACTTTTCATAAGATTTTACTTGTGATTTAATTACGTAAGAAACACCTGCGTCCGGACAATACTTTTATTAAATTATTCGTTATTAAAAATAGAGTCGCCTACCTTAAACACTTTCTTCTTATTCTTTAGGTTCTGTTACATATTCTGAACTTTGACATATGGCTGGTGGTAAAAGTAACAACATATTGGACGAGTCTGGTGTGTGAACAAATGCATTCACGCATTTAAAGAAAGTGCATTTTTGCGTGTAAATCATTTGGAGATGTTCATTAAGTCTGCTTTATATGCACGTGCATAATTTTAGTTTCCCCTGCTGTCAGAGTGAATAAATAGTGGAAAAATGTTGCTTGCAACATGGTGTGATGGGTTTTGCATTTTTAATTATATTTTAATGGAATGTCAGATTTACTTCAACTGTAACTGGCAACACAGCTTTTACAACGTTATTAACAGTTTAGACATACTAAAGGTACGCATGCACTCGTATAGATTTTTAAACTATAACAAAATTATACCAATTGATGCCAGAGTCGTAGTATTCGCATGCACGTGAACATTGTTCAGACAATATAAATTTTATTATCGGATGTAAGTCATTAGTAATAGCTTAAATCTTTGCACGCTTGTCACGAAAAACAAAATCGAGACTATTACTCAAATAGTTAGTAATCTAAAACATGATTGTCACATTATTTTTATAAAATTCTGGATTAAATTCAAATCTGACTCTTTATTATCGACAGTAACTTCCTAATCAGGGTCTTAAAAAGGAACATGTTTTGACATTCCCTTAACAATTTTATACCAAAAATATTGACCTAAGTATTTTATACAAAAACGTGACCTCCATTTACAATAATTAAAGATTATAATAAATTATTCTCATTAATTTACATACTACAGGAAACTTTTTTCAAATATTTTATGAGTCAATGTTCAAATACTTGTATATATTAATATTATAACAATACATATGTTAAAGAAAAGTTGTTATTAATTACAAAAATAACATCCTTTCTCGCTAAATAAATAGGCAATTAACTTGTCCACTTAGTGTTGAATACTCTTAATTATAATCTTGACCTTCTTCAACCCGCTTCTCTTTATGTAGTGAGTACAATCTGTTATACATATACGTCACATTAACTTCACCAGAAGAGAAGCAATACTTGAGCAGTTGTACTTGTGGTATCACTTTAGCATAAGTGTGTATACAATTTTTTTTCGTCGATGCCTTCCATAGGTGCATTTTTTCTCTAACAATTATTTAATCATTATACAGGGTGTTCATTTTATCTGTTCACGCCTGAATATTTCTGCATAGGCAAACCATTTTACGTTTCATAAACAGCTTTGATTAATTTTTATTTTTAAATAATATGAACGCATGGATAGCAATGATCAGCACCAAAATTATGACAAATTATTTCTGCGAGCCAAATATTTTCAATTTCCGTTTGCTTTAAAATGTTTTCGAATTCTGAAAAAACAGACATACTTTTAATATTGGGAAAGTGTGACAAAATTTTGATACTGCTGTTCGTCTCTATGCCAGGTAATAGAACAAGTCCCTCAAACCGAACGTTTATAAAACTTGAAAAAAAATTACGAGAATTAGGGCAATTCAAAAAAAAAGTTAGAAATCGAACTATAACAACGCCGGGTAATGAAGCTGCTCTAATTCAAATTGTAGCAGAAAATCCCCACATGAGTCAAAGGCAGATTGCAAGACAAATGGAGACTAGTTTGGGTTCGGTTTTCAACATCTTAAAGGCCGATTAAAACCGATTTCATCCATACCATGTGACAATTGTCCAACATTTAACAGAACGCGATCTTATCCGACGGTTAGTGTTTTGCGAATTCGTGAAGGCTCAATTACGAGACAATCAAGATTTTTTATTTAACGATTTGTTTACGGATGAAGCCACAATTACCAATAACGGGTGTGTAACCAGACACAACTCGCATTACTATGTCCAGCAAAATCCCCATTGGAATCAGGAAAAGCGCTTCCAAGAAGTTTTCAGTGTTAATGCTTGGTATGGAATTGTTAACCACGTCATTGGTCCACATTTTTTAAGCAAATTTAAAAGGACCTATGTATTTAAATTTTTTAAAGAATATTTTACCTGAACTGTTGGAAAACGTTATAAAAGCTAGACATACGAAGAATAATTTGGTTTCAAAATGATGGTGCTCCCGGTCATTGTTAGAGAGACGTTAGGAATTATTTACGCAGAGCGTGTAGACTAAATAATAGCGTCATGCAGATCTATAACTCCCGACATGTTAGATAGAGTTCGTAGAAATTTTGACCGTAGGATAGGACTTTGTGAAGATAGTGGAGGCAGGCATTTTGAACATTTACTATAAATTCGTTTTCGTTGTAATCTGATCCATTAATAAATTGAGTATTATTTTTTTCAATTTTTTCATTACTTGGCACTGACATCTTTGTATTTTTTTTTGTGATTGCTATGATTGCTTTTTAAAAAAATATAATTAAATTGGACCAACCCGTCTCTAGAGTGTATAATATGTTGCCTATGCAAAAATTGTCAGATGTGAACAGACAAAATGAACATCCTGTATATTTGCACATACACAAGATGAAGAAGCATTTTTTTTTTAATACTGCGATACATCGTTGAATATTTCAACTGATTCTAATACATACATACACGAATAGTGTTCTAACTTTTTTCATTTAACTTAACTATATATTTTTAGGTAAATCGATTACGAGAAAAACAATTCAACAAAAAATAGCTAATCTGTCACAAATGAGACATATCATACTGCCATATCGAACACTTTGGAAATGGTAAAATTAACAATATTTGGAATAACTTCAAATAAAAAAAGAAACTAAATCGCGTCTGATATACTGTATTTTCCATTAAAAAAAGTAATGGAAGCTTTTTTCGACTTAACAAAAATAATAAAACCGTTACAAATTATTGCACCAATATGTAATAGAATTCCATAAATCAAAATGAAGAAACATTATCAAAAAAGATCAATATTACAACAAGAATTAAACATTCTTTTTTAATGGTCATAAAAAAAAGTTTGTGTCACAAAAGATTTCTAATTGGAAATTCAGAATAGATAAGTAATAATAAAAAAGATTGATAGTCAACCATAGAATAATAAGTAATATTTAGAATGCAACGTTTTAACGCAGGAAACTAAACAGACTGTGACGTGTTAGTTCGTTTATTGCCCAAGACATTTTTCATAGTTTTTTTCCTTAATTTATTGTGTGAATACTATGAGAAATCATTGGGTTCGTGTGTATGTCTTGTAATTAGGGTTACGTTTTCAATGCTAACGTATTTGTTGCAATTAGTATGGTCTACATACATGTATTAACTACTATGATTTTATCAACTGTAACAGCTTAGTGGATTTTTAGCAACGTACGTATGAGTAAAGGAATTTATTTTTGTTTCTTTAAAAAATATTTACTTTATGATAATTGCAATTATCGAATCGATGTAAAACATTTTTTAGTGATTATATTATAAAACAAAATAAAACTGCAACCTATAGCAGTTTTAAATCGATAACAGCGTAATATAAAAAGTTATTAAAACGCAAGTGGAAAACACAGATGATTTTTTTTAATATATATAGTTGTTAATTTATTACTAAGGAATCCAAGTTTTTCCCACAAAAATTTTATAAAAAACTTTTTTATTTAGTCTTGAAGCTATATTATGGTGGAGTTCGATTTCAAATATAAACTACTTTACACTCGCGAAGTAAAAAGAAAAAATGTGGACTAAAATACCAAACGAAGGAAGAAAATCCGACGTACCTTTATGAAAATGGAGCTGTAAGATTTCAGTAACCTTTTTTCACTTTCCATGACAGTAACATGCAATAACATAACCTGAAGTAATTGTGCTTGATTTATAGTATTTGATGACCCCGAATCACTGGAAATTGAAGACGTTTATTTTTAAGGTAGAGCCACCTACTATTGTACATATATACTTTATGTTATATCACCTGTGGTATTGCGGTCTTGGAATTAGTGTGGAAACTGCATTTTACATTATATTTTGCTCATTTTTTACACTTGTACGTTATATTTTCCTTATATCTTCCATTTATAATATTTTTTGTTTGACGTGCCATTAATGTATGTTCTACAGGTAATGTGGCGAATAAAATATTGTTACCATTATCGCACAGCGTTTATGTACAAAATAATTCCGGCACAACTTGACTATACTCCCGTAGACTGAATTGACTGAATAATAATCGTTCCCGACGGTGGATCGAGAATGCCGCTCGAGGTTGTTCTGGGCCCCGCAATCGCGATTCCCGGTAACACGCTCCAAACTTGTCTTTATAGAACGCCGCTCGGCCACTGTCACCGATGATGACTCACCCATCATAGCCGCACAAACCAGAAAGATCTCGACAGCCCATAGGCGTCGTACTGTAACATTGCCCCCTCCTTAGTTCTGATCATCCCAATCAGAAACGTCAACGGTGGCACTGTTGTACTTCATCAGGCACTGGTCGTCGTCACATTTCAACGGTGAAACTCACGACGTGAAAAGTTACTACTGCCAAGATTGTAACTATCGGACTGTTCTGACCCTCCTTTTCAAACAACATCTTCAGGACCGTCATGGTATTAAAAAAGAACAAGAACAATACGTAATTCGAAAATATATTTGTGAAAAATGCAGCCTATAGAAACAAATTTCTCAATGAAGTGGTTTCAGCATGTCTTAGTATGCCTTAAAATTAGAAAAAATGGAATCATGAAGTCTGAAAGAACTGAAGATATAAGTTGGTATCATTGCACCGAATGTTCATACAAAAGCAAATAGAAAAGAAATTAAAAAATCCACATAAATGGACACCATTCGGATCAGTGGTATGAATGCGAAGAGTGCCCATTGAAAACCAAGTACAAGACGTCTTTGAAAAATCACACGAAAATCAACCATTTGGGTGAACAACATATTAAATAGTACACTTGGAAGAAGTGTCCATTCAAAACTAAACCAAACTACCATTTAAAAAGTCACATAAATGGACGCCATTCCGATGGACAAGATATTAAACGGGTCACGTGCCAAGAGTGTCCATTTAAAACCAAGTACAATCACTCTTTGAAAATGCACATCCACGTTAAACATTTACTACTAGTAGATAAAGAAATTAAATGGTACTACTGTGAAAAATGTTCCTACAAAGGTAAATTTAGCTGGGAGTTAAAGAAACACATCAACGCTCTTCATTTAGAAGAAGACGACATTAAATGGTATGAATGCAAAGAGTGCCAATTCAAAACCAAGCATAAACCGTACTTAAACATCCACATAAACCCCCGCCATTTAAACGGCGCCGACATTAAATGATACGAATGCCAAATCTGCCCCTGCAAAAGCAAATACTAATAGTCTTTAAAAACTCACATAAATATCATTTGGACGAACACGACACTAAATGATACCCGTGCCAGAACTACCCATTCAAAACCAAATATTACCACTATCTGAAAATCCACATCAACGTAAAACACTTAGATAAACCCGAAATTAAATGGTACGAGTGCGAAAAGTGCCCATATAAAGCGAAGTCAAGCTATGACTTGAAGAAACACACAAATTTAAAGGAGCAAGAAATTAAATGGCACGAGTGTGAAAAATGCCCGTAGAAAGCTAAAACCAGTCGTGATTAAAAAAACACGTGAATTTGCACCATTTGGACGAAGGGGAAATTAAATGGTACGAATGCCAAACGTGCCGTTTTAAAACCAAACATCGGTCGTCCTTGAAGAGTCACGTAAATTTTCGTCTTCGGCCCTCGTTGAATTATACAGGGTTATCAGTCACGAGAGAATTACTTCTGAAAATTATTTTTACGCAACCCAAAATACGAATACCATGTACCATTTGATACTAACTGAATTTAATATGAAATGCTTAATCCATGATTGCTTTGAGTTTGGCAATCTCATTTTGACAATTGTGGAAAAGGAGGTTACGCGAGTGTCCATAGTGGTACCGCAGCCAGTCGGAAATCTCCTCCGGCGCCGCTAATAAATTTGTGCCTCTTGATCTTTTGCAACCGATTAATCACCAGAAAATTATTTCTAAAAATTCCTTTTACGGCATTTTATTCAAAGGTTACAACACAAACTCAAACAAGTAAGTAAATAATTTAACTACTAATCTGTTGAAAATGTTGGGCATTTTGGCGGGATGCTATGGTTTTTTTATAAATGGATGGCCGAAGAAGTCCAGAGGTTGCAGATTTGCACTTCTAAGAGGCTCTAGGTGACGCAGAGATGGCGAATTAACACATGCACATTAGTGGCGAACAACATTGGTAGAGCACTTACGGCTTCAGTATAGCCCAGATTGATCTGACTCTATGTCGTCGATCCAATGGGGCTCTAGAAGCGAGTCAACGATGAAAAAAAAAGTTAAAAATTAATTAACGTCAAAGTGACACTGCCAAAGTCAAAGCATTCATGGATTAGGCATTTCATTTTAAATTTAGATAATATCAAGTGGTACAGGGTATTAGTATTTTGGGTTGCGTAAAAATAATTTTCAGAAGTAATTCTCTCGTGACTAACCCTGTATAAACGATTTCGTTGATTCTCGTCACGACAATATATGGACCTTCCCATTCTGGTGACAACTTCGGGCAACGACCTTTCCGTGTTCAGGGATTATAAAACCGTACGAAATCCCCTACGTGGAATCCCATTGAGTTACCTTTAAGATCGTAGCGTGTTTTCATTCTGTCACTCGCCACCTGGATCTTATGGAGCTACGTTTTCGTGAATGCTCAGCAGCTTCTCCTTCAAGTCATCGATATAATCTATGACCTCTTTTGCTTCTTCACACAGAAAGCCGAACAAGATGTCACAAGGTAGACGAAGTTCTTCACCGTGGACAACTTATCGATACGCCAGTAGGAACAGTGGAAAATGTGGATTCCAATCTTTCTCATGTTCGGCCACCACCTTCGAAAGATGTTCTTTCATGGTACGATTAAACCGTTCTACCATTCCATCTGACTGCGGGTACAACGACGTAGTCCGTGTATTCCGTATCCCTAGTACTTCATTAACCCTTTGGAATAGGTTTGACTCGAAGTTTCTGCCTTGGTCCAATTGTCAATCAGCATTTTTGCAATCGTCGTGGCTTCTTGGTTCGATATGGCATAAAGTTCGGGCCATTTGCTGAAGTAATCGCTGATGACCATTATGTACTTATTCCCGTCCTCGGTCACCGAGAAAGGACTTGCTATGTCCACTGTAATTCTTTCAAAAAGCGAACCGACGCGACGTTGTATTGTTGCGTCGGCCCTCTCGTCCTAGTCCTCGGTCCCCTGACCGCCGCACAGATCGTACATCTCTTGCACCAGCTCTCGACATCTTCTCGGCAGCCGACCCAGAGAATCTCTCCATAACTTTAGAAAGCCTCTTGTTGATTCCAAAATTAGCACCAGAACCCCCATTGTGTATCTCTCGAAGTACTTCCCTGATCCTGGTGGCCGGAACCACCAACTGCATGGTGGTATGTTTCTCACCAGGGAGTTCCACTAAGCCTATAACTCCTTAAAAGTAGGTGATAGATCCGACCAACTTGGTCGTTCTACCCCATTTTCTTGTAATACTTAAGAGTCTCTTATAGTTATCTTTAAGCCAAAACAAGGTAACTAAAATAATACATAATTAAATATTTATTCGTCACAAAATTCACCATACTAATGTTTCTTCATTAACTATTTTTTTATGATTTCAAATAATCTTCCAGACAACATAACATTTCTAACAGTTTCCGTATAGGATCGTTCGATTTTCTAAACTTAACCAAATATGTATTTTAATCTCATACCTACCGTAACACAGTCATTTAAACTGATTAAAACTTATTAAGGATCTGTTATTTTTGCAAAAAAAAAAAATACACAAATGACATCAGAAATTGTTAAGCATGGTTAATAACTGTAAAATGTATCAAAACTACTCCCGAAATGTCTGTCCAGTCTGTTTAGATCAGAATTTCAATTAACTATAAAAAATTTGCTGATGGCTTTAGCGCGGATATGATTTAATTTCGACTCAACTTGCGGTAATTTTTATGATTTCATCACAGTGAGGTGCAGGAAATCCCCTTGCCTGGGAGGACCTCTAAAAATTATTATACATATAGTCAAAATCGTAAACGCACTACTGATTTAGGTGTACAAAAAATGACACATTGGGTCAGTGCCTCACTATGTTTGTCCCTGATATTGGAAAATTAAAGGTGTATGCATGCTTCACGTTAAGTCTTGGATTTATATCATCATACTTACTTGTTATGCTTATGCATCGTAAACCTCGGAAGCACGAATCACCCAAATAATAGAATAATATAAATGATAATAATAAATTATAGAATTTGAGAATCTTCTAGGAGATTGTGAAGGCATTTCCAAAGAAAGTCAGTACCATGTATTTTTCTGCAGTCGACTAACGGTTGAGAATTGTAAGTGGCTAACGAAAAAATCATAATTCACATTTCTGTGTGGTACGTTCCATTAGTCATAAACTCATAAAGGATAGAAATTGAATAAAGTGATTTTTTTCAATGGTCAGTTGATGATGTACATAAACTGATGACCACATAAGACACGTATTCTAGTTTACTTAGCACAAAAGAAAAATACAAGGACTTTCAGCAGAGATATTAGGTTTTTAAAGAGTGCAGACATAGGCAATATAAATTCTAGAGATTTAGTTGTCGATAAGGATATACCTTGGATATGGTCGACAAACATTAGCCTTGAAACAAAATGTACTCCAAGATTTTGCATTATATTAACTTTGACAAGTGGATGACCATTTATATGATAGCAGGAGAAAACTGTAAGAAAGGAAATAGGGATGAATATGTAACTGTGAGGTACGTAAGAGGTCATTGTTGAATAAAACATAAAAAACCGATGCAAAGTTGGTTTTTTGAGGAACACCTGATGTCGGCATGTAATCTTTTGATTTCGACTTATTCTTCGAAAGGTATACGATTTGATAGACAAAGATATAACCGTATAAGTCCGAAGGAACTGAATCGAGAAGTTTATGTATAAAACATCTATCTGATTGTTAACGTCAAGTTGCTTACATTGTAAATAGTTGTTAAGTGGTTTTAGATCTTTCATGATTTATAAATTACCTGCTTAAATACCTTCGCAAGTTTGAAATAATTGTTATCTCCGGATACTTCTTATGAATCGGCACAATTCTGGCTCGTTTTCTCATGATCGGAAAAGTGGATTTTTTTATAATTTTATTGATGATCATTAAATACCTGGATATCTAGTCATTACAAGTCGTGGGCTCATTTAAAAAGGATGCCACACATTTTAATGATATTATCTGCACAGACTCGGACCTCGAGCTAAGGTGAGATAAATGAGATAAACTTGTGCAAAACCATTTACTCTTTAACCTGTGTCTCAAAAGATAGGTTTCCTTGATGCATTTTGCCAGGTGTTCGGTTTTGATTTGACCTCACATTTTCCATTATAGAACCATAAATTATGATATTACTCTTGGGCTTCGTTCTGTAACCTTCTGCACAATCTTTTCATTTTCAGTTAGTGAGGCAGGAGAATTAGAATTAAGCCATACTTTGTGTGGTTTTTTTTCTAGCGTTGGCTGCAGATATATTAACGCAGGTTTTTCCAGAAATAGTTAACAGTTTTGTGTGGCTCAGCAGCTATTCCACAACAATGACGATTTACCAAATTCATTCAATTTCAGGAAGAATGGGAAAAACTGTAATAGAATTTTTACGCTCGCGGTGCGTGCGGTGAAAAATCCCAAATTAATCACATTTAGATGTGAATCTTGAAATTTGAGAATCTAAGGCACGGACACTGTTCACATAGCTAAATCTATGGGAAAAACAGATCTCCTTACCTTTCATTCGTTTAGATTTACAGGTTTTTAGTTACAATAAAAATCACACTTATCTACTTAGAAGAAACAAATTGTAATTGTTCTTTTTATTTTGTACATAAATAAGTACATATATGTACTATAGATATGAGTTTCTAAATTTGCAGATTATCTAAAATCTATATTTTCATATAACAAAGCTGTCTATAAGTAAACTTCAGGAAATAAAAATTCTTTGGCAAATAGTTTGTTTTCGATTTTTCAAACAAGAAGAGTTGGACATTGCATTAATTGTGCTGATAACTCGTTGTAAAAAGTATAATCTTATTAATCAACTTTTAATTGACTTTTAGGTAAATGCCATAGAAGATTAAGTTGTTTTAACAGATTTATCAGTAAACTGTTAGTGAGTGGTAGTGATAAAACTGCTCATTCGTCCGATGGACTCGATTA